TCCTGTTATGGCTGTGACACCCAGGGCTGGACAAACAGAGCCAGACATATCTGTCCTCACAGGAAACCGAACTCCAACCTCATCTTCCTAACCACTCTGGAGTTGGGGGTGCTGCTGACAAATCCTGGGTCTGAGGGGAGATTCTGGGTGTGGGGCAAATTTATTTTCTTGGGGAAACATCACCACCTTTGAATTTTCTACACCTTAAAAATGCTAACATCTCCTTATTGCATAGAATTATACCATATTAAGGTAAGAAATACCTTAAAAACTGTGCAATTTAAAAGCCTACCTATGTTCAGATCAGTCTCTTTTATTACTTGCTTACAAGTAGTCATGCAAGTTCTGTGTGTTTAAAATCATGTGACTTGGAGCTCATATCTTTGTTCGTGTTCCCTTTATCTCAGTTTCCAAAACTCTTTAAAAAGCAGTAGCAATCTACTGTTTACTTCTCAATTACCTGAACTTATTCATACAAACCTGCTGGAAGCTGGTCCATCCTTGCTGCTTGACACAGTCGCTGCAGGGAAGAAATATCTGCACAGCATATGTTTCAAGGGACCTGGCGTATATGGCATACAGTTCTTAATATGTTTGCTCCCCTTCTTAGCGCTATGTGTTTTAACCAGGGTCACCTCTCTGAGAAAGGTTGTTTCCCCAGGTGGGAATTTTTCCCTGGAATTAGGGATTAACAGGACTAAGGAAGGGAATAAATCAGTAAAACCCTTTAACTAAGTGCCAGGTGGGTAGTTAATCACCTTAACTATGAACAATCATGCTTAAGCTACATAATCTTTACTTAGGATAATCTCCTTCAGTTACTTCCTTGTAGCTTAACAGAATAGTAGAGTAGTGACCTTGGAATGGAGATAACAAACACCCTAACCTTTGGAATAGAATGGATAGGATTAAAATCAAATGGTATAAATACAGATGTAACAGGAGAATAAAGAGAGAACCTGGCTAGAACCTGGCTAGAGAACCTGGCTAGGCTGCTGATCAACTGAACGCTGTCTCCATGTCATTCCTTCTTCGCCGACT